GTAGGAAACTTTGGGGTTTGGTAGTTCTTCCCTGGATCCTTTAATTTGCTGGCCATTGAGCAAGGTGAGAATTGATGTTTTCAAACTGGTGCTGGAGAAGACTCTTGAGAGTCCCTTGGACAGCATGAAGATCAAGCCAGTCACTCCTAAAGAAACTCAAGCCTGAATATTCATTGGAGGGACTGATGCTGAACCTCCAATACTTTGTCCACCTGATACGAAGAGATGACTCATTGGAAAAGCCCCTGATGCTGGGAAACATTGAGGGCAGGAGGAGAAGGTGATGACAACAGAGGATGAGATGGTTGGATGGCATCACTGACAGAATGGACATGAGTTTGAGCAAACTCTGGGAGATGGTGAAGGACAGGGAAGCCTGGTGTGCTCCAGTCCATGGGGTTGCAAAGAGTCAGACATGACTTAGCGACCGAACAACAACAAAGAGCAGGGTGAGAGAGTGTGGAGGGCTGCAGGAGAGTTTCCTGGGGACTAGGCCTAGATGGTCGTGTCCACTGATTTCACCCTCATTCCCTGGCCAGAGCTGTATCCCACCTGCCCTGGATAATTATGATGGAAACTGGAAATTGCAGTCTTCTGTTCGTTCTGGAAGAAGAAAGGTGTTTGGTGGGCACTCAGCAGTACTCTTGCCACAATGGAAAAATATATTTGTTTCCTTTCTCTTGTTTCTTCTTTGCAGAGCTGATCTGGTTTAAATTTTCAACGGAGAGTGCATTTACATTCAGAATGGTCTGAAAGGGAGGAGAAAATAAAGGACTTGCATTTCAGTTTGCTCAGAATCTTACCGCAACTATTTGTGTGAGAATTTGTGTACCTTCTGGGAGGAGAAGAGCTGCCAAGATGGGGAGGAGGCACTGGGCATGATAAAACCCGCAGCCCTAGAGGAGATGGCCCCTAGGATCCCCACTGGTCACCTCCTCTCTGGCCGAGGTTCTCCGGGTGCAGAAGGGGGCACCCATGGCCACCAGCAGGTGCTCGGTCCTAGGGAGACAGGTCATTCGGTTGCCACTGTAGGTTCTCCCTGAAACACACCCGTTTCATGGGTCAGCTGGGCCTGGAGGGATTCCAGTGACGATGAGACATCTAGGTTATGACCAAGAGCCCAGATTGTATTACTGTGTAAATGGAGGTGACGGAATTTCAAGTTACTGTTTGTGTCTGCCTTTGGGCCTCTGCTGGGGCTGGACTGGAGCTCTGAACCCTAAAGGGAATGGTCCACATTGCAGTAGCTCCCTTACAGAAGGCGGGCATGCTTGTTTGGAGAACCTGCCTCCCGCCATCCCAGCAGAGTGGGTGGCAGGCATCCTTGAGCCTCTGATGTATTTCTGCAGGGCCCACTGGCCTGGTGATTATTTAAAAAAAAAAAAAATGCTGCAAGATTTCCTTAATCTGTCTAGGCTAGAAGCGAGCACCCAGCCAACCCCACAGCTTCTGCTTCTGTGGACATCTTACTCATTGATGTTAAAGATAACTGAGATTTGGGGCTTCCCTGGAGGCCCAGTGATTGACTCCATACTTCTAATGCAGGGGGGTGTGGGTTCAATCCCTGGTCGGGGAATATAGAGATTCAACATACCATGCTTTTTTGGGGGGGGGGCGGGAAGCCTATAAAAAATATACTGAGGTTTCTCTATCATTTCCTAAAGGCTTATAAAGTTTGAATTTTATGTGATAAGCAAATGTCTGATTTTACATGGTCAGAGTGATGGGTATTCTCTTTGTGATAGTTCCCCTTTTGCTTTTATGCCTAGGAGGCCCCTTATGGCTTTTCTTTTCAGCTGTTTCACTAATCCATCCTGAGTTTACTTTTGCCTATAGTGTGATATGAAGACCTAAGTTTCTTCTTCTTTTTCCCCCAAACAGCTAGCCAATGTTCATGGTACCAAAATCTGAATAATGGATCACCTCTCCATAGATTTGGGTCTTTGGCTTTTTTATCTGTGTGAGTACAAGGTCGGACTTCCCTAGTGGTCCAGTGGTTAAGACTCTGTGCTTCCAAAGCAGGGGGCAGGGGTTCAGTCCTTGGTCAGGGAAATAAGATCCTACATGCCACTTGACATGGTCATGTATGGGTGTGAGAGTTAGACTATAAAGAAGGCTTAGCGCTGAAGAATTGATGCTTTTGAACTGTCGTGTTGGAGAAGAGTCTTGAGAATCTCTTGAACTGGAAGGCAATCCAAGCAGTCCGTCCTAAAGGAAATCAGTCCTGAATATTCATTGGAAGGACTGATGCTGAAGCTGAAACTCCAATACTTTGGCCACCTGATGTGAAAAATTGACTCATTGGAAAAGACCCTGATGCTGGGGAAGACTGAAGGCAGGAGGAGAAGGGGACGACAGAGGATGAGATGGTTGGATGGCATCACCGACTTGATGGACATGGGTTTGAGCAAGCTCCGGGAGTTGGTGATGGACAGGGAAGCCTGGCATGCTGCAGTCCATGGGGTCGCAAAGAATCGGATATGACTGAGTGACTGACCTGAACTGAGTACAAGCTCGCCTTCAGGAGGTTGTGGGTTGCCTTTAGGAGGGGTGAAAGTCAGGGCTGACCAAACAAATACATGCACAGACCCAGCAGCTGAGTGGGAGACACAGGAGGTGCCCAGAAGCAGCTCCTGTAAGGTGACCTCAGTCCATGCCCACTGGGGCCCAGGCTGAGCAGGCACAGCTCCCCCTCTAGCACTTGGAGTACTCAGAAGGCACGCAGGTCAGCATTCCAGCATCACTGATTCAGTGTCTTTTACATGATGCCTCTGAAATTTTGGAAGAACCTGCAAATAATGTTTCTAGAAGACAGCCTTGTTTTCCTGACTAGATGGTTAATGGTGTTGCAGGGAAGAGCCAATAATGGCTCCATGTTGGAACTGTGTTGACCTGCTCCCTGTTGCTTCTGTTATTATAATCATTCATAGTCGCCTGCCTCAGACGGCCCTGCCCTTCTCTCTGACTGTTGAGAAAAAGTGCCTTTGTTCAAGACCCTGTCCACCTGTGGATGGCAGGAAGGAAGAAATTAACACATCCTCTGCCTGAGGCTTGCCATTCTAGGAGATAGTTGTAAGATTAATGGCCTTTTTACTTTGTTTACTTTGTCACCCCCCTCCCCAACGCCGCCCCCCCTCCAGTCTGTTCTATAAAAGAACCTGGCATCTAGACCCTGATGAGATGGTTATTTTAAGATATTAGTTTGCCATCTCTTAGGTCAGCTGGCTAACTTGTTGCCTCAGCACCCCATCTCTTGGATTCATTGGCCTGTTGTGCTTCAAGCAGAGCAAGTTTGGGCTCCGTAGCAGTGGTACCAGGACGGCAGCCATGTCTGGGTTATCTTCAGACCTTCCTGAGCAGAAGCCAGATGTCCTGCACAGGATGGATGATGTGTGAAGGCGTTTCCAAGGCTAGGCTGAAGCTGCGTCACACTCCAGCCATTTCCTCTGTTGTTGGAAGCCCTGAGTTCCCGCACTGAGAGTCTGCGGGATGTGATTTCCAGCAGATGGTGCACACATCATGCATCCTTTTCACTGTGACCTTCTAGCTCCGTGTCCTGCAGTTGGAAGGGGTCATTCTAGCATGAAAGTTGGGCAAAAAAACAAGCAGGCTCAGGTTCCAGACCCTGTGATCCCAATTCCAGTGAGATGGCCAGTCGGTGTTCACTGCTGGAAGATTCAAGGCTGGTGGCAGTTGGTTTTTGTAGTTATTAAGTCACTAAGTCATGTCTGACTCTGACCCCATGGACTGCAGCACACCAGGCTTCCCTGTCTTTCACTGTCTCCTGGGGTTTGCTCAAACTCATGTCCATTGAGTTGGTGATGCTATCTAACCATCTCATCTTCTGTCATCCCCTTCTCCAGCCTTAATCTTTCCCAGCATCAGGGTCTTTCCCAGTGAGTCAGTTCTTCACTTCAGGTGGACAAAGTATTGGAGTTTCAGCTTCAGCATCAGTCCTCCCAATGAATATCCAGAATTGATTTCCTTTAGAATTGACTGGTTGGATCTCCTTACAGTCCAAGGGACTCTCAGGAGTCTTCTCCAGCACCACAATTTGAAAGCATCAGTTCTTCAGTGCTCAGCCTTCTTTATGGTCTAACTCTCACATCCGTACATGACTACTGGAAACCATAGCTTTGACTACACAGACCTTTGTCAGCACTTGGCTGGAGGAACATAAATGACAGGCCTGATTTACAAAGTGGAAATTAGAGGTCGGCTAACACATGGATTTCTTCTTTTACTAGATATCAAATGAGGCAGTTGTATTTTTGTAGTAAGAAAAATTGGGGATTAAAATTATGGAGATGTTACAGATGGTAGCTCTGTTAACAGGATCGTTTTCTAACACATCAGAGCTCTGTGTGTGTGTGTGTTTTATACATATGTTTGCTGTATGTATAAAATACATGAATATTTTACATGTATATATAACATATGCCAAATATGTATATCTATGTTCATACATGTATGAATTACAGTTTTTATAGCTGCTATATATGATTAAAGAAAATATTTCTGTCTCTCTGAAGGAGGAGAACATCTCTTTGGATATATTGTCCTAGAATTCAGAGACTGTTCGCTTTTCAAAGTCATACAAGCCTATTAGAGAAAATTTGAGAAATTCAAGAGAAGCAGAAATGAAGGAGAAAACACAGATATCAAACATATTATTATTATTTTAAGGTTTGAACTCCAGGATGGAGTCAGGGAGAGTGAGGAGCCTCTTCTGGGAAGAAGGGGTCCGTAACAAGTGGAGAAAAAGGGCCCCTGGAAACATCTATGCCCCGTTGGGGCTTCTTGGGAACCAGGGGCCCGGCCTTCCTCCTCCCGTCACGGCCCACACGATGACCTTCCCGATACACGTTTGTTGCCGTGGGGAATCTCTATATGTTACTTCTACCCTCCATCAGGGAGGGTTCAGGCCTTTCAAGCCCCTGAAACTTCCACGACTCAGCCCCTGAATAAACCCATGGCTTGCTTTCTCTCTTTATTCCCAGACTGGAATCATTTCCCTGTATGACTGTGTTTTTAAGAGGGACCCAGGTTATAATCAGAACTTACACCGAGATGACAGAGAACACGCCAAAGGCCTGGGACTCCACGTTAATGAGGAGGTAACAGCAAGAGGGTGTCGCCGGGTGTGAACAGATCCACTGTGTGCGTGTTTGTTTACCATCGAGTTCAGCTGCACGAAACTCTCCTGTCTTCCTGTGCCGGGAAGAGACGACCAAGCTGCTGTCGGTGTAACTCAGTTCTGTCCTGTTAAACTGTTCATTTTTGTGACTGTTCAGTCCTGTGAGAGTGAAAGTGTCAAGTTGTACCTGACTCTTTGCAACCCCATGGACTGTAGCCTGCCAGGCTCCTCTGTCCATGGAATTCTCCATTCACTGGAGTGGGTTGCCATTCCCTTCTCCAGGGGATCTTCCCAACTCAGGGATCGAACCTGGGTCTCCTGTATTGCAGACAGATTCTTTACTGTCCAAGCTACCAGGGAAGCCCAGCCCAGTCCTATAGAATTTAACAATTCCATGACAGCAAAGCTCAGAAGTTCTTTCTGACAGATAAACAGGTCTTTGCTGAACCTCTGAGGCCTGGTATCATGGTTCCAGGGGCCCTGGCCTTCCGGGAATGAAAGCACATGGACAAGAGAGATTATTTCTCCTCAGTTACTGGGTCGCTATATGCACCATATATGGCTCAGTTCCTCTATTATCTGAATAGTTTTCTGGAAGCAGCTGACAGGGTGGGTGGTGACCAACCAAGGGAACCAGACTTCCAGGGTCAGACTGTCAGGCTCACAGCAGATGCCTGGGGTGGAGGGAAGGAGGAGGCGGCTGTGCGTCCCCTTGGCAGGGCAGGACCATCTGCCCACTGGGTTCGACCCCACTTCCACACTGGAACATTGTCTCCGTAAAATCTGACGCGAGGACAGTATGTTTATTAAAATTCATGTGCTGCATTAATATCATCATCTTTGTACAATACACAGAAATCAGCATGTAAGAGCTTCTGGTGGGATTGCTTTTTGGATCAGAGGATTTTTGCCTGCTGGCTGTTACTGTTTCAGAATGTTGCCATGTCAGTTTCCATGAAACTCGTAACTGACGTGAAATTAAGTGATGGAAGTGCTAAGAGGTATCACGGCTTAAGTCACAGACATGAACAGTTTTTCTGCTGTGTTGTTATTCAGTGGCTAAGTCACGTCCCACTCTTTGCAACCCCCATGGACAGCACTTCCTTGTCCTTCACTATCTCCCAGAGCTTGTTCAGTCTCATGTCCATTGAGTCGCTGATGCCATCCAACCATCTCATCCTCTGTTGCCCCCATCTCCCGGAGCCCTCCCTCAGTCTTTCCCAGCATCAGGGTCTTTCCCAACGAGCCTGTTGTTTTCGGTCTGTGTTAATTCATTCCCAGGTAGTAGTGAAGCTTGTGCTTTTCTCTCACAAGTACAGACTTCCCTGCTGGCTCAGACGGTAAAGTGTCTGCCTGCAATGAGGGAGACCCAGGTTCAATGCCTGGGTCGGGAAGATCTCCTGGAGAAGGAAATGGCAACCCACTCCAGTATTCTTGTCTAGAAAATCCCATGGACGGAGGAGCCTGGTAGGCTACAGTCCATGGGGTCGCAAAGACTCGGACATGACTGAGCGACTTCACTTTCACTTTTCTCACAAGTGTACATGCCTGGCATGACTTAAAGTCAGTCAGACATTTTGAGCACCTCCCATATGCCACTGAGTATAAAGGGAACGAAGGAGCATTGTCTGCCCTCAGAGCTGAAATTCCCATGAGAAGACAAGAATAAAAACCCAGTAAATGATGAACTGAATTCCAGGTGAGTGATAAGTGATATGCAAAGAGATACAGCCTTTTAAGGGGATGGGGACAATGAAAGGGATGAGGAGGTCTGGGGATGTGATGGGGGCTGGGGAGATGAGGAGTTGGGGAGATGTGTGTCTGGGAGAAGGAAGGAGGGGAACAGAAGACAGGCGGGAGGAGCAGCAGGGAGAAGGGAGGGGACGGAGGAGGAACGCGATCCCGAAGGCAGTGGGTACCTGGCGCCCCCTGCAAGATCTTGGACTGCCCTCTGAACGTCTTGAGGACACTGGTGGCCCAGAGCAGAGGGGACAGGATCTGACCTGGTTGAAGAGAACCACCATCCCACCCCTGCCAGTGGCATCAGTTCAGGTCAGGTGCCCAGTCCTGTCCGACTCTTTACGACCCCATGGACTGCAGCAGGCCAGGCCTCCCTATCCATCACCAGCTCCCGGAGTTTACCCAGACTCATGTCCACTGAGTTGGTGATGCCATCCAACCATCTCATCCTCTGTCGTCGCCTTCTCCTCCCGCCTTTGGGTCAGTGTGGTCTTAACCGGTCCCGTAGGGGCTGCGATGGTTCATTTGTAGGCTTCTTCTGCACGAGAAGCCCGGTGGAGGCGGAGGCGGGTGTGGGGACACGCAGGCGCGGACAGGTGAGAACGCTCTACTCCCTTCCTATAGGAGCGCGAGCGGCCGGTGGGGGTGCTGTCATCTTCGGTCTATGGCTGGCGCATCCACCAGCCTGTGGAGCCTCTGAACCGGGACCACGGCCGCGCAGGCCACGTGAAGGCCGACTTCTACCGGAAGAACGACATCACCAGTATCAAGGCGCCTGGCTTCGGGCACATCTCTCCCGCCTGAGTCCCTTCCATGGCCCGAAGGGCGCACGGGCAAGAGTGGCGGCGCAGGGGGGCAGGAGGGAGGGCAGCGCTGACCGCGGGACGCTCGGAGGGCCTCCCGGGGCCGGCGGGCGCCCCTGATGCGCGCTGGGCCACGGGGAAGGACCAAGGACCACGCAGGGCTGCTTGCCTGTGCGTTTCCTGGGCGACCAGCCTGGCCAAAAGCCTGCGATTCTTAGGATGGACACCTGGTAGGACGTTTTTTCACCGGAACCAATTTCAAGATGAAATGATGCTGGAGACTGATCCACTGTGGGCATCTGAATAAAATGAAAACCTTGTTCCCTCCTTGACCACCGTTGGTTTCGCTTTCTGTTCGCTCCTCTCTAGGTTTGCGCGTCTCCCTGGCGGAGGCGCCCATGGCAATGCTGTTTTTCTTACTGGTTATGTTAAGGTGTTTTTCTTACTGGTTATGGGAACTGATACCGTCTGATGGCACAAATAACAATGGGAGATAAAATTGCCTTTTGGCACAATTAGACTCTAGATTCTACAACCGCCCCCTCCCCCGCCAGAGGTCTGAGGCACAAATCACAGAATTTTGCGTAACTAAGGACAAAAGCTCCCTGCAGGACGAGTGGCCAGCGATCAGGGGCAATGCTCCTCGGGTCTGTGCAGGCGTTTCTCACTGCGATGGCTTCTGTGGCTTTGGAGCCTGGGCTCTAGGGCCCCTGGCTTAGTTGCCCCAGGACATGTGAAATCTTCCCGGACCAGAGATTGAACCCGTGTCCACTGCATTGTAAGGTGAATTCTTAACCGGTGGATCACCAGGGAAGCCCCATCTTTAAAGTGGGAGTTCCAAGCCTTGAAGAGTTTGTGTGGGAATCAAGGAGTCCCTGGAGTGTGGTCTTCCCTGGCCCCATAGGCGCTGTGAAGGTACATTTGTAGTTTTCTTTTAGGTAGCAGCTGCTGCTTTTAACCAAAGTTGGAAATGTTTACTCTGGAGATGATTTGAGACTTATTTCAAGTGTTAAGATGTTGGCTATTGTTTTGATGAATGGATCTCTTGGTAGAAATCACCCTTCATCTATTGTGATTAAATTTCCCACAGCTTAGCAGTTAATGGGCAGGTGATTAATTTCAATGCTGATTCCTCCACTGCTTGTTGTATTGTTTTGACTGAGGACTTTATGACACTCTTGTGTTCCTGGCAATTTCAAGGTTGAGCAGCTCTTAAATATTTCTTTATACTTTTGAAAATGTTCTTTCACTATAGGTTTTTTTTTTTTTTCCCCCAAACAATAGGAGTTTTTTTGGAATGCTTTTGGGTGCATTAACTACATTTATAATAACATTATAGAAAGTATACAAAGTTTGGGTTATGGAAATTTTTATAAATTACACTTTTTTCAGTCTTGATTATCAAGAAAGACAAGGCATCTCAAAGAAATGCCTTCATCTGAAAGTAGATGCAGTAAATTAATATCAGTAGGTTATTTTCAGTAACCTTAAGTCAGGCCCTACTCCCTTACCCTTCCACTGCTTAAAAAGCAAGCCTTGAACTGGGCAAGAGTTCAAAAACTCACATTTGTTAGGTAGCAAGGGAAAATTAAATGTATTTCTTTTAGCATCTTGATTTTTACACTTCAAAGACAATCAATGAATGCCTGTTAGTCAGCTTTATCAAAGAGAAACAGATATTAAAAGAATTTGTTTCGATCTATCAAGTTTTCACCATGAGTCAGTGTTTTTCAAAGGCAAGAGTGTTACTGTACTTAGGAAAGCACCGCTGCACTGGGAAAAGGAATGACATGGAAGACTGATGATAATGTAGACTTCTCTAAACAGGTGTACTGAAAATTCTGCAGTATTAAGGGGATTGGATTCACAGCCTTTTTCATGAGAGGGAGATTTCTACAAGACCTGGAGGTTCAGGAGAGCTTTGAGGAGAGTCTTAGTGTCGTCAGTGTCGCAGGCATGATGGCCGATGGACATGGAAGGCAGGTCCCCTCACTTGCATGGTCTGCTCGTGGGAATGTGTGGGGTCGCCCAAACTGAGGGGTCTCGACCCTGAGCCACACTTTCAGAAAACAAGCAGCTTTCCGTTTTATCTCATCTCGGTCATCTAACCTTGGGGCAAGCCCCCGGACCTCTCTGCACCCCCATTTCCTCTCTTGCAAAATGCAGGGGGCCTCAGGCTTGCCTGTGGATCAAAATCACGTGGAGTTGCTCTCCGAAGCACAGTGAGCATGCTTCCCCACCACCCACCAGGATTTCCAACTCAGCAGGTCTGCATTGAGGCCTGAAACGTGTGCATTTCTAACACATTTCCAGGTCATGCTGATGCTGCTGTCTGGGAACCTCAGTTTGAGAGATCCAGGTATGCACAGACCTTTGAGAGGTGGACTCTGATAATAACTCATTGCTTTAAAAAGTCTACTCTTTGATAAGACTGGAGATACAGCTTGGGGCGGGGGGGAATTCCCCCTTCACATGCCAGGGCAGGGGTTGAGGGGCAACATTTAAGAGTGCTTGGCGGGGATTTCCCTGGTGATCCAGTGGCTAAGACTCCAAGCTCCCAATGCAGAGGGCCTGGGTTCGATGCCTGGTCAGGGAACTAGATCCTATATACCACAAATAAAAGTTCAAATGCCGTAACTAAGACCCAGCACAGCCAATAAATAAATATTTCATAAAAGAGAGCTCTTGGGTGTACATGTGTCCCCCCGTCCCAAACCCTCCTCCCACCTCCCTCCCCATCCACCTGTGGCTGATTCATGTCAACATATGGCAAAAACCACCACAATATTCTAAAGTAATTAGCCTCCAATTAAATTAAGGGGGAAAAGAAAGAGCTCTTGGTGCATCACTCTCTGCGGGTGTCTTCTTTTAAGGGCAGGTGACATAGGAACCCTAGGATGGCTGTGGTCGGCTGTAACGGAAGAACCTACAGGCGCTTTCTGAAGTCACTGAACCTAGAGCATCCTTGCCCAGATTTTGGTTACAGTGAAGACAAATGCCCTTATACCATTTTTCTCCTCTCACTCACCGTTCTAGAGAATTAGGTGTATTAAGGCCAATGCTGAGTTGCAATTATAGGATCAAAAATTTCTGACTGAGGCAGACAAATGGGCCAGTCATGCTGTATCCCCACTCTGGGATGAAGGCTGGGTATTAATTTTGACAAGCGCTTTTTACCGAGGATGAGCCAAGGCCCTGGCAGGGCGGCCGCCTGGACCCTGAGAAGCAGTGGCGGGGGCGAGGCCTGGGTGCCCGCCAGCCTCTCTCACGGTCATTAGCTCTGTCAGTCAGACTTGGCCCCACGAGCTGCCAATGGGAACGGGCTCCTAATAGAAACTGAAATGTGTGCTCAACGTCTCACAGCTAGAAAATCGCCAGGGCTTTGCTGCTTCAAGTTCCCAGCCGCTTGCTCATCCATCACTGCGGTCCTCTGCCTTTTACAGAGGCCTGCCCTGAGCCACAGTCTGCCCAGCCAGGCAGGCGTTTGTAGCTCTGCTTTTAGACATTCCATTATGCATGACCTGGGTTGGCCAAAAAGTTTGTTTGGATTTTCTCATAACAGCTTACTGAAAAACCCAAATGGACTTTTTGGCCAACCCTTTATTTACTACTCTCTTTGGTAAAATATGATATCTTTATGCAAAGACAGACTTCCCTAGTGGCTCAGATGGTAAAGCGTCTGCCTACAATGTGGGAGACCCAGGTTCAATCCCTGGGTCAGGAAGATCCCGGAGAAGGAAATGGCAACCCACTCCAGTATTCTTGCCTGGAGAATCCCATGGATGGAGGAGCCTGGTGGGCTACAGTCCATGGGGTCGCAAAGAGTTGGACATGACTGAGCAACTTCACTTTCACTTTGGTAAAGTATGATATCTTTATGTAAAGGAAGACACCAAAACTTTAGTGTTGGATTTACAAAAATGTGGTTTTCCAGGGTTTACAAAAACGTGGTTTTCCAGGGTTCCTCTATTCAAAAATGCATAGATGTTGGCTTTGTACAGTCTTAAGTCTCTTTAGACATAACAGGCAAACCATGGGGTTTTGGCAGCTTCTCTCGTTAGTTCAAATTACTGGGATGCTGATATACAGAATTCCAAATTATTCTGTGTCTCACAGCTCTACTGAAGTATTACAGTAGACCAGAGTATGTGGACAGAGTGTGTGCTGATGCTAGCAGAGAATCGTTTTCATAGTAAAATATTTTTCCCTGTAAATCTTCTATGTTGTTGTTCAGTAGCTAAGTCATGCCCGACTCTTTTGCGACCCCATGGACTGTAGATCACCAGGCTTCTCTGTCCATGGGCCTTTCCAGGTAAGAATACTGGAGTGGGTTGCCATTTCCTTCTCCAGGGGATCTTCTTGACCCAGAGATTGAACCCACATCTGAAAATGCTCTAGAGAGAGGTCAAGATTGAAAATCACATGATACACTTTCCAGGGAGTTGCATCATCAGGGATCAGCACCGCAAACTCTGTCTCCATCTGATTTACGCAAGGAGAGCTCAACCATCTCAGGGACTTCCCGGGGGCTCAGTGCTTCGGAACCCACCCTGCAATGCAGGGCACGTGGTTTCGATCCCTGGTTGGGGAACTAGGATCCCACGTGTCTCTGGGAAACTAAGCCTCAGCGGCAACTACTGAGTTTGTGGGCCACAACTGGAGAGACCATGCTCTGTGACGTAAGATCCATCATGAGGCAACGAGGATCCCATGTGCTGCAACTAAGACCCGATGCAGCCAAATAAACTGAAGGGGGTAAAAAAAGGATGGCTCCACCTCTGCTTCTGGACAGTCCCTTCTGAAACAGTTCTGTCCAGGGGAGAACACGTGGAAAACCAACTCAGTTCTGGAAAGGGGTCAGTGGTGGGGTGGGGAAGATACAGACTATCAACCAAAGTACATAAAACTTTTAATGAATTAACCTTACAAAAGACAATGGCATCAAAACATCAGACGCGTCTGGTACAAAACTAGTCCTAGGTTGTAAGAACTAATTCTGGTGATGGATGGTGAGGTGTCGCTGGCACAAAACACGACGGAGCAGGGTGACGGGGGCCCCCGGAACCCAGCTGGGCCTGTGGACAGTCACTGCAATGAGACATGTGGGCGAACACGTCGGATTCCAGGTGGGGTGACAGAATCAACTTAGTCACAAGTACTGTGTGTTTTAGTATCAGACTAGCGGATGCGGTTGGCGAGCTACCATATTTTCCAGAAAAGAACATGCACCAGAAGATAATATACACCCCCCCCCCCCTAGTTTTATTGCCTTAAGAATTTTTGTCTGTTTCCCCCTCCCCTCTTCGTCAGCTTCGCTGAAGGCTCTTCTGCAGTAACGCGCGCTCCTTTCCCTTCTGCTAGGAGTAAGCACAGTGGAAGTGGCAGGGCGATCCTGGCACACGTCAGACACCGAACGGCAGGCCGCCAGGTCACAGGAAGGAGTCTGCAGAGGCTCCAGAGGACAGGACAGAGCACGCACACACACCACAGACAGGGACGCGAGTGGCAGTCAGAAAGTGCATTGTCATCGTCCCGAAGGTACAGTCCTCTCACCAGAACCAAAGGCGAGGCTTCAGGAGGTCAGGTTGCTCTGAGAAAGGGACCGTGACATCTCCGTGTTGACGAAGTAGGTCTTCAGGTCCCCCTTTCCTTTCACGTTGATGATTCCCCGACACGTGCACGTGTAGCCCAGGGTCTGGAGGATGACGCTCGTCTCCTCTGTCACCTGGAGAAGCACAGTGACAGGTGAGGAAGTGCTTAGTTCCCACGTGGACACGACCCTCTCAGGGAGGTGTCTGACTACAAGGCTGAAAGTGGAAGTGAAGTCGCTCAGTCGTGTCCAACTCTTTGCGACCCCATGGACTGTAGTCTACTGGGCTCCTCTGTTCATGGGATTTTCCAGATAAGAACACTGGTGGCTCAGACAGTAAAGCGTCTGTCTGCAGTGCAGGAGATCTGGGTTCAGTTCCTGGGTCAGGAAGATCCCCTGGAGAAGGAAATGGCAACCCACTCCAGTATTCTTGTCTGGGAAATCCCATGGACGGAGGAGCCTGGTGGGCTACAGTCCATGGGGTCAAGAAGAGTCGGACATGACTGAGCGACTTCACTACAAGGATGAAGAGCCCCCAAATGCTCGGGCTTTTCTGACTCATTCATTCCACTCATGGGAAACCAGTAGAAGAGAGAATAATCCATGAGAAGAGAAGCTGTCTAAGGACAGTATTTGTTTTTCTTTTTTTTTAATTTAGTTAAAAAATTTAAAAATTGGAGTATCTTGCTTTACAACGTTGTGTGAGTTTCTGCTGTACAATGTGAATGAGCCACACGTATGCATACATCCCCTTCAGGTCATAACAGAGCTCCCGGGCTATCCACCAGCTTCCCACCAGCGGCCTATTTTGCACACAGCAGTGTGTATATGCCAACGCTGCTCTCCCAATTTGTCCCCCCGTCCTTCTCTCGCTGGGTCCACAAGTCTGCTTTCTAAGCCTGCATCTCTATTCCTGCCCTGCAAGTAGGTTCATCTGTGCCAGTTTTCCAGATTCCATATGTATGCATTAGTATATGATACGTGTTTTTCTCTTTCTTACTTCACACTGTATGACAGACTCTAGGTGCATCCACATCACTGCGGAAAACTCCGTCTGTCTCCTTGGGCACGTGGGAGACACACGAGCGCTGGACGGGCCCCACCACGGTTCTGTTTCTGGTGTGGATGCTGTTAGGGGACTGTGCAGTGGCTACGGCAACGAGAGAGGCGAAGGGAGGCCTGGGGGACGCGTCTGTCATGACAGATGCTGTCACCAGAACCAGAGGAGGGGGACTTCCCTGGTGGTCCAGTGGCTAAGACTCTGAGCTCCCCGGGCGGGGGCCCAGGTTCGATCCCTGGTCGGGGAACTAGATCCTACAGGCCTCAACTAAGAGTCTGCATGCCATGACTAAAGATCCTGTATGCTGCAACAAGATCAAAGATCCCGAGTGCGCAGCTAAGACGTGGCACAGCCAAATAAACTACAAAACAAAGCAAAAACCCAGAGGAGGATGGGGCTTCTGGAATCCAGGACAGTATTTGGGGGTCACCAGAAGAAAGGCTGAAGGGCATGATGTGAAGATCTCATGGGTTGGCTGTGGGAAAGAGCTAGAGAAATCTGTCTTCTGCCACATGATCCAGCGGCTGGCCCCTCACAAAGGGGCCAAAAGGTGGGTCTTTTGGAGAAGATCAGGAGAAAAGGGGGATACAGAGTCCGGATACTCACGTCCTGCCCTCCCCTGGCTGGGCCCAAGTCCCAGGGGAGGATGGATAGAGCTCAGGAATATCAGATAAGAACTGAAAAAATATGAAATTAGGCAAGAAACTCAGATAACAAATATTCTCTTCTAATTAGAGTTCTTACAGCAATCAAAATTGGAGACTGCTACAGACATCTGGGGTTTCCCAGGTGGGCTGGTGGTAAAGAACACGCCTACCTATGCAGGAGACGTGGGTTTGATCCCTGGGTCGGGAAGATCCTCTGGAGAAGGGAATGCTCACCCACTCCAGTATTCTTGCCTGGAGAATCCCATGGACAGAGGAGCCCGGCGGGCTGCAGTCCACAGGGGTGCAAGGAGATGGACATGACAGCACGCACGCATGCATTATTCCTCCAAGCCCAGGGGCAGCCTGGCTGGGTGATGAGGGGCTTTCTACACTGTGTTTCAGGCATAGAAAGCATATTCTCTGTAATAAAAAGATCTGTTCCACAGGCCCAAGGGAGGCTTTTCATATTCTCAGCATCATTGTTTATTTTTCTTGGCATCTCACTGCTTTCTTTTTCACGTAAATGGAAATGAGAAGCTAGCGCAGCTGTAGGGAGCGACACCCTCAGGAGAAGAAAACCTACCCAGAGGTGGACCCTCCAGCCGCTGAGCTGAGCGGACACACAGACGCGGCAGTGGACCGACCCCTTGCTCTGGATGAACAGGAACCTGTCCTGTTTCCTCCCTGGGCTCAGAGCACGCGGAGGCAGGCCGGGCGGCTGCGCTGCGCTAAATCACATGGAGTTTTAAGAGGCCCAGCACCCTCTTAGAGGGGCTTCCAGGAGGCGCCAGTGGTAAGGAACCTGCCGGCCAATGCAGGAGACGTAAGAGACGCGGTTCCATCGCTGGGTCGGGAAGATCCCCTGGAGGAGGGCATGGCAACCCGCTCCGGTATTCTGTCTGGAGAATCCTCTGGGCAGAGGAGCCTGGTGGATACAATCCATAGGGCCACACAGACTCAGACACGACTGAAGCGAAGCAAGAAAGTGTCTGCTGTACTTTCGGGGGCAGGGTTATTTGAGAATGTGGGCCAAGCTGAGACGCAGAACAGGGACTCATGGAGTTCTCTGAAGAGGACACAAAACCGAGAGTCTATCATTTGTGCCCAGTGATTTTCATACAGATTTGCCATTAGGCAGCAAAGTATCTTCCAGATAAACTCCTGCTGTAACAAAGCTGGGGTGAAACGTGGAACATTGCTTTGTGAGGGCAATGAAAGTAAAGATCCGAATAGACACACAGGCATGCACACACAGACACCCACACACAGAGACACACAGACACAGAGACAGACACACAGACACATTCACACAGATACACACACAGAGACACAGAGACACACAGTCACAAACACACATAGACACAGACACACAGACACAGAGACACACACACAGACACACACCCACACACAGAGACACACAACACAGAGACAGACACACAGACACATTCACACAGATACACACACAGAGACACAGAGACACACAGTCACAAACACACATAGACACAGACACACAGACACAGAGACACACACACAGACACACACCCACAGAGACACACAACACAGAGACAGACACACAGACACAGAGACAGACACACAGACACAGAGACAGACACACAGACACATTCACACACACACACACAGACATACACACACATACACAGGCACACACACACACGCCCTTTTCATTCAGAGTGTCTCTTTCTAGACGCTGGCACCACGGCCCACGTAGGTGCGTGCAGTCACCACTGCTTTTAATTTGTCAGGTCTTGGTTTTCGCTCCCTTGGGTGGATTCCAGAACGTCCCAGTCATGTCCAGATGCCCAAATCCCAGGTCTAGCGCTGTTGTTTCCCGCCACTCCAGCGCATCTCTCCCTCCCCTCCCCTTGTTCTCCCAGTCCAGCCCCCCGGGGAGAGGAAGGCAGGGCGTCACGCCTGGTCTGCGTCCAGCAGGGAGGGCACCCCGCTGCCCCTCCCCTCAGGGGGCACACTGCCCCGGGGGTCGCTCTGACCATCTACTTTCAGAAATGACATATCCTTCACACTTTGACATCACTGTTTACTGTTCACAGTAAATGCAGAAACCAATGAATATGTCCCCAGTAAAAAGTTTAAACAAATGATGATGTTTACTCTCTTTCCTTTGCTTTAACGTTATCCTTTTTATACGCTTATTCACGGTTCCCCAGAGGACAGATGTGGCGGATGACCACAGAGCCCATGAATTACCTGGATTTTGTCCAGGACTCCGGTGCTGTCCATCCTGCTGGCCACGTTGACGGTGTTGCCCCAGATGTCATACTGTGGCTTCTGAGCTCCAATCACACCAGCTATGACAGGGCCATGGTTAATACCTGGGACACACCAGAATCAGATTAGCAAGATTCAAACCATGAACTTGATGGTGCAAGCAACAGTCTCAAACAGAAAGGTTTCACAAGACTTTTCTTGAACCGTCATTATACAGCGAACATTAGCCCAACTCACGGAAGGCCAAAGCAAAATCATTCCTCTAACTTCATCAACTGAAAAACATTAAAATGTTTCTCTTTCTTCCTCTCCTCCACCTTGATTCATGCTCAGATGTCTATCTGTCACTAGTCCACAATGGCGTAAAACTGGTATACTTTACAAAACTAAACATTATAATTGCTTTTCTATGCTGCCATATAGTCAAGAGATAATCATTATGTTATTTTCCAATAGTTTTGCAGTTAATCACCTTTAAAATTGGGATATAAATGGCAACCCAGTCCATTATGCTTGCCTGGAAAAACCTCATGGACACAGGAGCCTGGTGGGCTGCAGTCCACGAGGTCGCAGAGTTGGGAATGACTGAGTGACTAACACTCACTTCCTTATAGCTGCTTGGCAACGTTGTGCTGGTTTCTGCTGAGCACAAACTGAATCAGCTCTGTACATACATATGTCCCCCCCACACCCCGTCCCAGCCCTCGAGGTCCTCACAGCGCACTGCGCTGGGCTCCCTGTGTCATAAAGCAGCTTCCCACCAGCTACCTATTTAACACATGGTCGTGTGCGTACATCAATCCTCCCCTCCCAAGTGATCCCACCGACTTCTGAAATGCACGTATTTTAAATTCCCTCTAACGTTTCGCTGAAACCACCACCCTCCCCTGACACACGCAGTCTTTTCTGGCTGCGGTGCTCTATTCTGTGAGCTTGATGTGTTCAGTTCAGTTCAGTCACTCAGTCGTGTCCGACTCTTTGCAACCCCATGAACTGCAGCACGCCAGGCCTCCCTGTCCACCACCAACTACCAGAGTTTACCCAAACTCTGGTAATGTCCATTGAGTCGGTGATGCCATCCAACCGTCTCATCCTCTGTCGTCCCCTTCTCCTCCTGCCTTCAATCTTTCCCAGCATCAGGGTCTTTTCAAATGAGTCAGTGCTTTGCATCAGGTGGCCAAAGTATTGAAGTTTCAGCTTCAACATCAGTCCCTACAATGAACACCCAGGACTGGTCTCCTTTAGGATGGACTGGTTGGATCTCCTCGCAGTTCAAGGGACTCTCAAGATTCTTCTTCAACACCATAGTTCAAAAGCATCAATTCTTCTGTGTTCAGCTTTCTTATGGTCCAACTCTCACATCCATACATGATCACTAGAAAAACCACAGCCTTGACTAGATGGACCTTTGTTGACCAAGTAATGTCTCTGCTTTTTAATATGCTGTCTAGGTTGGTCATAACTTTCCTTCCAAGGAGCGTCTTTTAATTTCATGGCTGCAGTCACCATCTGCAGTGATTTTGGAGCCCCCAGAAAATAAAGTCAGCCACGGTTTCCCCATCTATTTGCCATGAAGTGGTGCTTGATGTGTACAAACGTCTAATCCTCACATCAGCCCCCGGGGTGTGTTCTGTTGTCATCAGCCCCCATCTTCAGCGGAGGAGGCAGAGAGTCAGACAGGCAGAAGGCGCAGGCCGAGCACAGAGCCAGGCAGCGGGCTAGAGGCTCTGCGTCCGCCCTGCTCTCCTCTCTCTGCTACGAGCTCCTTGGGCACATGTTTCTTCCCCCGCTCGGGGGGCCCGCTTTCACTGACACACTTCACGTGCAAGTTCAGTAAGTTCCAGAGGAACGCGTTTGCGTCTTCTTTTCTTTTTAATCTCTTGGCCCCTCTGCACAGCATGGGGGGGCGGTGATCTTAGCTCCCTGACCAGGGATCGAACCCTCGTCCCCTGCACTGGAAGGCGAAGTCTTAACCACTGGACACCAGGGAAGTCCCAGCATGGCTGCGCTCTTGATTCCTATCTGATTCCACCAGCTTGCACCAAAGCAAAGGAGGGAGCACCCATGGTAGCATTAAAAAAAAACCAAACAGCAAACCCCGCCCCCCGTTTGTAACGGCAACTGTAAATCCACGGTCATTTCGGGTGCATGCCGGGCGGAGGTCAGGGTGCACTCTGACCCTGGGTGGACACGGACATGGCATCTGCTGTCAGGAGCCGAGGCTTCAAAAGTCTGGTCAACAGCCCTCGTCAGGGACAGGCTGGGCTCCCCCCAAGCCCCCACCCCAGTGTAGCAGGTACGACGGTTCCTTGTCCCCAGGACTCAGCTCAAACACGCAGACCCATAGTTGTTACGGGCGCAGTGGGACGTGGGCCACAGAAATAGAAACAGAGGCATTGAGAGTGGTTGATTTTTCCTCCTGTGTTTTCTCCTGGCTCCTCGCCTCCTAGCCCTACTGCAGGAGTCAAATTATACGGATTAATGAGGGTGTTTCTGAGAGATTTCAGTTCCCACTACTGAACTGCTTCGTGTACATGGAGTGCTAGAGATCGGAGGGCAAAACCTCCTCTTTGCAGTGGAAAGGGAGGCAGGAAACACCATACTAACACTGTCCCACAGATCCTTGAAGGTCTGCAGGACCGAGAGAGAATTCTCCTCCATTCGTATGTAGTAACTCAGTAAAGGTCACATCTCTGCATCAGACAGCCCAAATAACTTATTCCAGCTGCTGGCTGGTGACTCAAGGCCCGCTGCCCTCAGTTTCCCTTCTGGCTGTTCTGAGTCTCTTGATCAGTGGCTGGGGGACCGCGGATGTGTGTGGTGCGGTGGGGAGAGCCTGGGCCCATACTACTGGCAGGAGAGAGATCTCGGCTGAAGGGCAGGGGTTTGCTGGGGCTATGGTTCCCACTCGCTGATCCTACAGCTTGACGCCAGCAAAGGACATTAGGAGCAAATCTGGCTCTTACTATAGCTCCCCTGGTGGCTCAGGCATTAAGGAATCCGCCTGCAATGCAGGAACACAGGTTCGATCCCTGGGTTGGAAAGATCCCCTGGAGAAGGCAATGGCCACCCACTCCAGGATTCTTGCCTGGAGAATTCCATGGACAGAGGGGCCTGGAGGGCTACAGTCCATGGGATTGCAAAGAGTCCGACACAAGGGAGCAACTGACACTTTGCTTTTCATGTATATCATCATTTTGCAGGGGCCAGTGTGAGCCGTCTGTGTTCCTACCATGAACTGCCACTGGATGGCGCGATGCTCAGAGGTGGAGCAGGGAACCTCCCCTTGGGAGAGGCTGAGTGTTTGGGAGAGCATTCTTAGGCTTGGGAGGAAATCCAGAAAAGCTGGTGTGTGAGGGTGAGTGTATGGATATTAATAGTTACCCAATGCTCAGTGTGAAGTAAGCACTCAATAACTACCTACTGAAGGAAGCCTACTGACTTGCTCACATTAATTTGGAAAACGGGGTTATGGTCCACACCAAGAGCCCAAGGCTCCTGATGTGATGGATGTGACTACCAAACAATTGTCCCATTCCCTCTGCAGTGAAAGGCAATATTATTTTGGTCCATACATATTTGACAATAGATGGAGCGGGAGGTTGGGGTTAGTAGATGTAAGCTTTTATATATAGAATGGATAAATAACAAGCTCTTATTCTATAGCCCAGATAACTATATTCAATATCCTATGATAAACCATAATATCAAATATGAAAACCACCACAAGAAAAGAATATAAAAAAGAATGTATATATATATATATATATATTTATATGTATAGCTGAAGCACTTTGTATATAGCAGAAATGAACAAAGCATTATAAATCAATTATACTTCAAAAAAAAAAGTATTTGATAACAGAGGGGTCATTCCACCATGCAATTGACTTTTTTTTAAGGAGGATACTGTGGAAAATTGAGAAGCCCATTTTCCAAGCTGTTAAATCAATAAAGCAGCTCCAGGTGAAGGGACCACCTCCATGTTTGATGGGGGCAGTGTCCTGCCGACCTGGCTCTTCTCACCTTTGTGCAGGTGAAGCCAGGTAAAGGCCCATTGTGCACACAGGTGGGACAATCTAAATAAACATGTGTCCAGATGCTGATAATAAGACATACAAGCCATGAAGACAACCCTGTTTTCTCAAGAGACATTTCTGGGTTTTAAAATTCAGAACCTATGGATAGCAAAGGAAGAAGATAGTTTCGAATATTGAAACTTGCGACTCAAGGAGTGTGAGACTGTTCTGACAATTCCTAGGGTTTTGTTGTTGTTTTTTTTTTTTTTCCCACTGCAAGGCATGTGGGATCTTACTTGCTTGACCGGGGACTGAACCCATGCTCCCTGCAGTGGAAGTGTGGATTCTTAACCATTTAAAAACACTTTTACATCTCTGAAGTCTGGATGAGTCCTGTAAAGCTGGACTGGGTCCAGTAGCATAAAGTGATAGAGGGGTTTACAGTTGTCCACTTGCACCCGGTCCTTGGATGGCTGATGGCTACGCTCCCTGGGGCCTGCAGAAATGACCCTGGCTGACGGACTGAAGCCTGGCTCACTGTCCACTTCTGAAACCAAGTGCTTGCAGCCGGGATGCAACCAAAGGGGGTATTTCTCCCCTGCGTGGGTGCTGAGTCCTTACAGTCGTGTCGGACTCTTTTGTGACCCCATGCACTGTAGCCTGCCAGGCTTCCTCTGTCCATGGGATTCTCCAGGCAAGAATACTGGAGTGGGCTGCCATTCCCTCCTCCAGGGCATCTTCCCAACCCAGGAATCAAACCTAAATCTCCTGCAACTTCTGCACTGTAGGCGGATTCTTCACCGCTGAGCTGCCAGGGAAGCCCACTCCGCCCCGCCCACCCCCCCACCAGTTTGCACAAAACTGCCTTCTGAACTCACAGCCATCCTGAGCATCCATCTGCCATCCAGTCCTGCTGCTCTAACCACACGTTTGTCACTGTGCTGCTCCAACACTGCAAGGGCCGTGGACCTTGCTTCGGATGCCAGGCCTTCCCCACAACCCACCCCAGATCGGCACAACGTACCTACTCGTAACTTGAAGTCATTGAAGGAGTGCTTGTTGATGGCGTCCAGCTTCCCCACCAGGGCAAACGCAAACTCCACCATGGTGCCAATGTGCATGTACTGCCTCTCCGGCTCCTGGAAGAGAACAGACAGGGCAGAGGGGGTGAGGACTCAGCAGGCGGGGCGGGGGTGGGGGGGGTCAGGGGGAGGTGGGGGGGTGAAGACTCAGTGTGAGGATGGGGAGGTGAGGACTCAGTGAGAGGAGGGGGTGAGGACTCAGTGTGAGGATGGGGAGGTGAGGACTCAGTGAGAGGAGGGGGTGAGGACTCAGTGCGAGGATGGGGAGGTGAGGACTCAGTGAGAGGAGGGGGTGAGGACTCAGTGAGAGGAGGGGGTGAGGACTCAGTGCGAGGATGGGGAGGTGAGGACTCAGTGGAAGTAAAGACAAAACCAAATATGATGGTTTCAGTGGGGACGAGTGAAAAGGAAAATGGACAGAACCCGCCTATTCAGGATGACAGGCAGATGGAAAAACCCAAGGTACCAGCTAAGGGGAAGAGGAATAGGACAAGAGGGCGATCACAGGAGCCCACAAGGGCGAGAGCACCGAAGCACATCTCTCAACTCCAGCACAGCTGGCATTTGGGTGGGATTCGTCTTTGTTGGGGGGTGTCCTGCATGCTTCAGGATGTTGAACAGCACCCCTTGGACCATAAAGAAAGCTGAGCACCAAAGAACTGATGCTTTTGAACTGTGGTGCTGCAGAAGACTCTTGAGAGTCCCTCGGACAGCAAGGAGCTCAAACCAGTTGATCCCAGACCAGTCAATTGGCATCCTCTGGATATTACAGTCACATCTCCTTCCCAGGGTGACAACAAAAACGTCGCCACATGTTGCTAAATGTGCCCTGGAGAATGAAACTGCGCCCAGCTAAGACCCAGCATTTAGGTAATAGGAATCCACCTGCAGTGCAGGAGACACGGGTTCGATCCCTGGGTCAGGAAGATCCCCTGGAGAGGGAAATAGCAACCCACTCCAGTATTCTTGCCTGGACAATCTCGTGGGCAGAGGAGCCTGATGGGTTACAGTACACGGGGTCGCCAAAGATTTGGACACGACTGAGTGACTAAACAACAATAAGACCACTGCACTAAATAACAGAGGGACTTCCCTGGCGCTCTAGTGGTGAAGAATCTGCCTTGCACTTCAGGGGATGGAGGTTTGATTCCTGATCAGGGAACTAAGATCTCACATGTTGTAGAGCAACTAAGCCTGTGAGCCACAACTAGTGTGCTGCAGTGAAAGACCTCACACTAAGCAACAAAGATGCTGAGTGCCACAGTTAAGACCGGATGCAGCCACATAAACAGGTAAATAAATATTTTTTAAAAACTATATTAAAATTAAATTAAAAGACGCTTGCTCCTTGGAAGAAAAGCTATGACCAACTTGGACAGCATATTAAAAAGCAGAGACATTACTTTGCTGACAAAGGTCCACAGAGTCAAAGCCATGGTTTTTTCAGTTGTCAGGTATGGATGTGAGAGCTGGACCATAAAGAAAACTGACCGCCAAGGAATTGATGCTTTTGAACTGTGGTGTTGCAGAAGACTCTTGAGAGTCCCCTGGACTGCAAGGAGATCAATTTTAAAAGAAATTAGTCCTGAATATTCATTGGTAGGACTGATTTGAAGCTTCAATCATTCACCTGATGCGAAGAATGACTCACTGGAAAAGAACCTGATGCTGGGAAAGACAGAAGGCAGGAGAAGGGAATGACAGGATGAGCTGGTTGGATGGCATCACCGACACGATGGACATGAGTTTGAGCAAGCTGTGGGAGTTGGTGATGGACCGGGAGGCCTGGCATGCTGCAGTCCATGTATGGTTTGCAAAGAGTTGGACACGACTGAGCGACTGAACTGAACTGAATATATATATATGAATGAGGACTGAAAGTTCTGGCCCAGAGAGATTTCTTCCTTTCCTTTGGTGAGCTGTATCATTCCAGAAAAAGATGATGAAATACTACCATTGCCATAAATCCACAACTTAAAATTGTGGGAGCAAATCAAACTATTAAAAAAAAATAGAACCACGAAGCAGACTGTCAGCTAACTTTGGTGGAAATGCAGAGCCATTACTTAAGAACAGCTATACTTTTCCATCAGAGCTAGATACTATCTCTCATCTCATGACTTAGGGGCACGTCTTGATTTGGAGGTTTATGCAGTCGGCTGGCAAACATCTTGCTCCTTGACGGGAAGCAGAAAATGTTAAATCAACAGGCAGGACCCTGTGCCATAAAAATTACAACTGTCCTGGCAAGGAGAACAAATTGGCCTCGGGAGAAACGGTTTGCTTTTTATGAAATCAAGGTGCAGCAAACAAGCTTCACTCCCTGATAAATTACCACCCAATCTGTTTCCCAGCAGTAGGCTTAAACTGTGGGTTTGACATGACGTCAGTGAAAAATGAAGAGACTGTGCTCTAGGAGTGGGCTTTAAATCCAACATCAATATCTCAATTGGGCGTAGTAAACCCTAGAGAAAATATGCTCAGTCTCTAGAAGAGCTCAGTTCATTTCACAAGGTCCTTATCATTGAGCTTTTGATAAATGCTTGATGACAGCCTGAGAAGCAGCTCTTTCTCCCATGACCCAGATAATTTCTCCCATCTCCAGTATTTAACCAACTTCCGGCTACATAGCGAGAGCACTCATTCAGTTTCCTGGAACACATTTGGCAAGCTGTTTGCTTTGCAGGTTTCACCTGCAGGGAACATGGCATAAAGTAAATGCATGTTTGTTGGGGTTATTTTATAACCCAAGTGACCGGTATCCACCGAGGTGAAATTAACATGAGCCTCGACTTCCGGCTTCTCTTTTCTGCCCCCCTTGCCTTCGTCCAGTCGTGAAACTTCCACCGAGTTCCTGCTGTGGTGATGTTCATCTGATTCTGAAGATTTAGAACTGCTGTCTAAGGAGCACTTGGTTCTTCTCCCTGGGGCCCCCAGGAGAATGGATCAGACCTCACAATTTTCTGAAGGACAGTCAGTCCAAGCAGTTGAGCTGATTGATGATCCCAGTGTGGAGATTGGCCCTCACCACAGTGAGGGCTCAGAGCACTGAGTTTCAGGAGCCTTTTGGAGAACAGGACTGGAATTCATAGCTTTCCCAGTGTTTACCAAAACTCAGGCATGAAATAATATTTACAAAAAAACAGCCTGATTGCTGGGTCATCTGTGGATTCCTCTGTATCCAGTGAACTTGGATTAAACTGGATGCAGTGTTCTCCACCCGATCTCACCGTACCAGAGAATGTATTTGATTCAAATGTTCATTAAGAAGAAAAAAAAAACGTAAAAGAAGGAAAAAAAATTAAGAAAGTAAAAAATAAAAACATTTTTAAAATGTGCATTAAGAGATGTTCTAGCAAACACCCCCTCTCCTGCTGTCAACATGTTAAACCATTTTCCAGGAGGACAAGTACACTGCTCACTACACGCCCATCCTTACGTGAGAGCCTGTTTGTTAGCTTGGATCAGGGACCCAGTGGAGCATCCAAACGCAGCCTGACGTGGCCTGGTTTCAAATATATTAATGAATGAGTGACTTAATCTCACTTTATGAACGCTAAAGTACGCCACTTGTGCTGGCTGCTGGAAATTTTGGATTAATAACAATAGTGCATGTATGTGTGTGGAGCAGGAAAAGGCAACCCAACTCTAGTATTCTTGCCTGGAGAACTCCATGAACAGAGGAGCCTGGTGGGCTACGGTCGCAAAGAGCTGGACATGACTGAGCAACCAACCACATGTACCTGTGTACTTAATGCTCGTAATGACTCCCATGAAGGAGCAACTGTCTTTATCTCAATTATGCATCCAGAAAAGGGAAATGTGGAGAGGAAAATAACCAGGCCTTGCAGCCAGGCAATCTGACTCCAGAGTCCTCAGTCTTCATTTACTCTAAACATAAATGGACTAAATATTCCAATCAAAAGACACAGAGTGGTTGACAGATTCCAAAAAGAAACTCATATATATGCTGCCTACAAGAGATTCACTTCAAATCTAAAGACACACTCAGGCTGAAAGTGAAGGCATAGAAGAAGGTGCTCAGTGCAAATGGAAACAAAGAAGCTGAGGCAGCAGCACTTATATCAGACAAATAAACCTCACCATCTTGTCTTCTTCCCTGTGTGCATCTTGAATGTGGTCAGAACTTTTGCTATTTGATTTGCATCTTGTTGTCATCCTCATTTTTGTTTCTTCAACTTTCAAGTTGCATGTTAGTTTATTAATTTAAATTTTTTCTGCATCATATTCACTTTTGTAAGCTTCTTAGGAAGAGATTTAAATAAAACAGGCACATACATATGGACAAATTGGTAAGCATTATTCCTTGACAGTCTTGCTGCTAAAATGGTGACAGATATATTATTCAGCTTCTGGAGAACTATAACTGAGAGCCCCCATCTCCTGCATTGGCAGGTGGATTCTTTATCACTGAGTCACTTGGGATATTTTGCCAAACTACATATCTGACTGTTGAATGTGTTTTATTACCAAACTAAATATCTGGCTAAACAATATATAGACAGATTTTTTGTTTATAACTAGAAAAACAAGTAGGTAAGCTACAAAAGGCAAAAGGGACATTCATTTTTTTTTTATAGAGACTAATATCCATTTTATTTGTCAAGCATTTTACTTCCCCCCAATCAAACATAATTACTTTCTTTTTAGATTCTCACTAATTTCAAAATATTTATAGGATAATTGTACCAAGATTCTAATTAAATATTCTAAATAAAAATAGCTCATATTGATTAAAAAAATCCCTGCATGCACATGACAACATTCAATTTATGTCCCAAAACCTTTTTATCTGTTCAACAGTGTGTAAGCCACAACTGTATTATTATTGCTATTAGCATTTTTAATACCTGTGGAAAAGTTATGCCTGTGGAGCATTTTGCATGATAATGAGGTCTCCCCCACAGTCTTAGGAAATAAGTAGGCTCTCCACTGTGCATAAAGGGACATGCACGTGGAGAAAGCTTAGCTATTATGGTAAGCAAGGAGCAGTCTCACTTGAAAGCCACCCTCTTTCCACTCCACCATGAAGGCATTAATCAAGCATCAGGATGCAGCTGAGGAGGCAGGTTTTGTGGTCACCGGTGCCAAGGACAGTAGGGATTGGGCACCCTTTGAAGGAGTGCTCGGGTGAATGGTGTGAATACAAATTGGCGGGTGCAGACGCCGACACAGTGAGGGGCTGGGAAGAGGTTGGGGTGAAGTAGCATGGGACCTGTGGGCAGACGGAGGTGAGGCCTGCACCCAGAGTCTGGGGTCTGCAGGCCTGCTCTCTGGCTGCTAGTTCTCTGCACCAGCAAGTCACTGCACCGCTGTGCCTCAGTTTCTCCATCTGTAAAAGGGGCCGGGGTGGGGCACCTCTCAGACTCAAGAGGCATTGAGTAAGTGTTCCAAAATACCAGGATTATAAAAGGGAAGCGTTGGCATTGGGAGGAGCAGGTTTGTAAAACAGCATGAGGAAGTGAGTGCTGTTCTGGGAAGCACGGTAGACATGCGCCACATCATTCACTGAATGGATGTGGGTAATTGCAGAAAGCGAAGAGGAACTGAAGAGCCTCTTGATGAAAGTGAAACAGGAGAGTGAAAAAGTTGGCCTAAAACTCAACACTCAGAAAACTAAGATCATGGCATCCGGTCCCAGCACTTCATGGCAAATAGATGGGAAACAATGGAAATAGTGAGAGGCTATATTTTGGGGGGCTCCAAAAATCACTGCAGATGGTGACTGCAGCCATGAAATTAAAAGACACTTGCTCCTTGAAAGAAAAGTTATGACCAACCTAGACAGCATATTAAAAAGCAGAGACATTACATTGCTGACAAAGACCCGTCTAGTCAAAGCTATGGTTTTTCCAGTAGTCATGTATGGATGTGAGAGTTGGGCTATAAAGAAAGCTGAGTGCTGAAGAATTGATGCTTTTGAACTGTGATGTTGGAGAAGACTCTTGAGAGTCCCTTGGACAGCAAGGAGATCCAACTAGTCCATCCTAAAGGAAATCAGTCCTGAATATTCATTGGAAGGACTGAAGCTGAAACTCCAATACTTTGGCACTCTGATGTGAAGAACCGACTCACTGGAAAAGACCCTGATGCTGGCAAAGATTGAAGGCAGGAGAAGGGGACGACAGAGGATGAGATAGTTGGCTGCCATCACGGGCTTAAAGGACATGAGTTTGAGTAAACTCCAGGAGTGGGTGATGGACAGGGAAGCCTGGTGTGCTGCAGCCCATGGGGTCACAGAGTAGGTCAGGACTGAGCGAATGAACTGAACTGAATTGCTCTCCACAGCTCCCCCTGCTGGGACTTTGGGGAATGTGACTTAAGACCTGTTCAGTCGCTCATTCATGTCGGGACTCTGCCTCCCCATGTGCTGCCGCACACCAGGCTTCCCTGTCCTTCACAATCTCCCAGAGTTTGCTCAAACTCATGTCCATTGAGCCAGTGATGATATCCAACCATTTCATTCTCTGTCGCCCACTTCTCATGCCCTCAGTCTTTCACAGCATCAAACTCTTGGGCACCTGCTCTAATCTAGATGCAGGGTGAGAAACACACGAAAATGTCCCTATTTACATAATTTTATGTTATTTTTTAATGGTTAGTTTTTCCAGAACATTAAAGATGCTGAAAAAACTGTTAAGTTTTCTTCCATTAAAGCCGGGAAAGTAAAACTACAATTAGCTCTATTTTTGGTATAAATAATATATTTAAAATGAAAACAATGTTGTACATTTTTAATACCTTTATTGCCCAATTTTCCAATAGTTCTTCAACACTTGAATGTTCTGGCAATAAAAACACAATCCTTAAATGTACACAACACCCCATAAACAGGGGTGCCCATTTTTCCTTCTGCATCAGGCATCCAGATGGCTTGGGAGGGCACTGCTCAGAGCTTAAGATTTTTCAAAAGTTCCTTTTATTGCTTGTTACTTTTTCTTATTACTAAAGCAATCTGTGCCTGCATGCTAAGTTGCTTCAGCTGTGTCTGACTCTTTGCGACCCTATGAACTACAGCCTGCCAGGCTCCTCTGTCCATGGGGATTCTCCAGGCAAGAATACTGGAGTGGGTTGCCATGCCCTCCTCCAGGGCATCTTCCCAACCCAGGGATCGAACTGCAATGTCTCCTGCATTGCAGGTGGGTTCTTTACCACTAGCGCCACCTGGGAAGCCCGAAGTAATTGGTACCCATGAAATAATGTGGAAGCAACACCTAAGTAGAAGAGCGCGTGGGACATATATTACCCCGCTCACTAGAAAAAAACACCTATGTTAATCTTGAGTCAGATATTTCACGTTCTCTTCTTTGCCCACAAGTGTGAGGGGGGAAGAGCACCCTCTCCTGATGTTCCTGGGGTCCTATCTGAACAAGCTGCTGCCCCTCTGTCCCTCTCTTGTTTGAGGGGAAGCAGCTTAGGAGGTGGGGGTGGGGTGGAAGCTGAGCACGTGAGGGGTGTCCGCGCTTCCTTTCTTCGGGGAATCCACCCACCTCCAGCAAGCCATGTTCTGGTAAGTTCTGTTTCCCTCTGCGGTACCCACCACCTCTGTCTGCCCTGTGGCAAATATGCTGGTGCCCATCAGGGAACCCACTGTCCTGAAGGGAAAGAGGTCTTGTTATTGACCCACAAGTTAACAAAGCATATCTACACACACACACAGAGAAACAAAATACAACTTAACAGAAAATCCTCTTCAAAAACCCTAGTTGAGTGAAGATACTCAATTTTGACCAAACCACCTTTTCAACCAAATTTCTAGGTGATCAGCATGTTTTTTGGGCAAATTGTTTTAAATAAAAAGCCCAGGAGCCTTCCTGTAATAAAAGTGAAATTTGTTCAGCCGTGTCCGACTCTTTGTGACCCCATGGACCGTAGCCCACCAGGCTCCTCTGTCCATGAGATTCTCCAGGCCAGAATACTGGAGTGGGTAGCCTTTCCCTTCTCCAGGGCATCTTCCTGACCCAGGGATTGAACCCGGGACTCCTGCATTGCAGGCAGATTCTTAACCATCTGAGCCACCTGTAATGAGTCACCTTTAAATAAACAGCCCTAATCTACTTTCTTGTATATTTATCTGGTATCAAGCAACTACCTTGTTATTTTCTACCTTGTCTGCCAGAGAAAGGGGTTCTGTGAACAGACCCTCAGAAGCCTCCAGAATTCTCATCTTTTCTCATGCGACCTTAATCGCTGAGGTTTGGGTTGTGCTTACAATACAATGAATGGGCCACGGCATGCCTGTGTGGGCTCATGGATGACCTGTGGGCAGAGTCAAGGCTCGCGTGTGCTGGGTGCTGCTGACACGTGTGTACCTGGGTGTGCTCCTGGCTGGGCACCGCGCTCAGACCCGTCGCTGCCATGTACGTGCTGCCGATGGTCTTGATCTTTTCAACGCCACTGAACTTCGGCTTGGAGAGCAGCTGGGGAGCAATGAGAACCATACAGTTACTCGGTTGGGTGCTGACCCATGGCCAAGCACTTCAGAGGCATTCTCAAATTCTAGTTGTCAGTCCTGGGAACAGGACACTACTTATTCACCCTTTGACTCTGGGCATCTTGGGGAAAGCACCGCTTCATCAATTTCACAAAGCATGTGTCCTTGGAAGGAAACACAGTATAATAACTTACTTCCAGTTAGCACAAATTATTTTTCAGAATTTCCTAGTGAAGAAAGCAGGATAGCCTGATCATGTGAGTGATAATTGCTTCCTTACATTTTCAGATTTTCCTCAAATACATTTCCCCACTCTGTGTTTGAAGGGCCTACATACAAAATGATCCAGAGTGTGAGGTCTTCCCTGAATGGTGAGGGTAATTTAGGACTACTTATAGTGCCGGGGCTGAAGAAGGGCATGGCAATTAACTCTTGCCTGGAGAACCCCTGGACAGAGCCTGGGGACAACAGTCCACGGGGCTGAAAAGAGTCACGACTGAAGGGACGCAGCACAGCACAGCACACAACACGCAGGGCCAGGGACTGGCTTTTGCCCTCTGAAAACAGAGTGGAGGGAATGAAGATCTAGAATGGCCCCTCCTAGTAGCTCTGATCCTAATTTTTGTTTTGTCCCAGCTTCTGGCACCAATAATCAGTTTCTTACTGGGCTTCTCCCCATCCACTATATTAAGCCTTAGGGTAAGAATGGAAGAAAGGTAAAAATAACTGGTAGGAAAGAGAAAGACTGGATGGAGAGGGCAAATGACGGAAACTCTGGAAGGTTCTGTATCTGCTCAGCAGGACAACGGCAGGGACAGAAGGCTGGGAACACTTTCTAGAACCTTCCTTTGTAGTCCTGTTTTCAGAGGGGGTTTCATGTCAGAGAATCTGAGATAGGTGAGCAAAGCTCTTTGTCACATCTCTATGAGCCAATCAAACCTGCAAGGACACTAATGCTGAAGAATATTTCTTTCACAGAGGAGCAGCTGGAGGAAATGTGCCCCTGTGTCTCCACTAGGGACCCAGCATAACAGTGGAAGCCTCTAGCTGTCCTTACTTCACCATGAGCCCTGGGTCAACCTCATGGTAACAACAGTGGTAGTAGAGAAACGCACAGGTCCCTAAGACACTTAGATGTTTGGCCTAAAACCTTCCTATTACATCATTCACTGTATTTCAAAGTCCCATTAATCATGATGAACCTATGTTCACCGCTGTCAATTTTTCCTATATTTGCATGGTATTATTAAAAATGCTGTAGCATCCATATCTTTCACATCAGGGGTCTGTTTGTTCTTACTAGCAAACAAATCACGTTGTTCCCTTGGTAGGCAGAAAATTGAAAAATGACATCTGTTTCAAAATCTAAGACATATTCTTTGTCCTTTCTAAAATATATTGTACTGCATTCATATTGCTTTTTCAATAATAAAGTAGGCCATCCCTGCACACTTCAAGTTGATATCTGACAGAGACCTTGGAGTCTGTACAGAAAGACATGCCAATAATCCACTATGATAAATATATTCATTATCTTTTTTATGTATAAAGATATGGGCAAGTATTTTCCTTGGAGTTCAGGCCTTTCAAGAAAATTTATGGGCACACTAGAAAGGTATTTTATTGAACAGATTTTGGTAGTTGTTCCTAGCAATCATATCAGCTTTACAAATAGTATGTGTTTGCCTCACCAATATTAGTCAGTAAATAGAGCAAAAAGATGAACGCCAACCACCAGCAATTTTGCCAAAGGATGAGTTTTCAGATATGCCATGATACTGGACTAACTTCAAATGTGCCAGTCCACAGGAATGTCAGCATGTGGGGCTGGGGTCACCTCTGCCCATCAAGGGTATCTCTTTTTTTAACTTTTTATTTTGTATTGGGACTCAGGTTTGATCCCTGGGTCAGGAAGATCCCCTGGAGGAGGCGTGGCATCCCACTCCAGTATTCTTGCCTGGAGAATCACATGGACACAGGAGCCTGGGGGCTATAGTCCACAGGGTCGCTAAGAGCCAGACACGACTGAAGCGACTTAGCATGCATTTTGTATGGGAGTACAGACGATTAACAATGTTGTGACAGTTTCAGGTGGACAGCAAAGGGACTCAACCATACATGTATGTATCCATTCACCAGCCCCAGGTCCCCTCCCATCCAGGCTGAAGGGTAACTCTTAAGTACCTACATCATCAAAGTCGGCAATGATCTCATTCAGGAGCCGAAGGCATTCCAAGCCCTCCTTGTTCACGTCTGATTCTGTATAGAATTCTTTGAAATCAGGAATGGAGGCAAACATGACGCAGACGCAGTCATAGGACTGGTGGTATAACTCCTGCCCAGGAGAAAAGGAGCTGCTGAGCACTAGGAAACTTTATAAGCAAACCTGCTCCCAGTGCAAGCTCTTCTTTACGTTAGGACTGGTAAAGAAATCGCCCAGTGCCTGCTGCACCTGCCCCACCTCGTCCCAGGCCCATTCCATTGAGCACAGGTGAAGGCTTCCAGTGAGCTGGATACAGGCTCAGAATCATCAACACCACACTGCCACTGTCACTACCAGCTAGTATGAGGTGCCCTTCCATTTACCCCTCTCTGCCATCTCTATCATAGACAACTGCAAGAGACCATAGAAGGGGACGACAGAGGATGAGACGGTTGGATGGCATCACCGACTCAATGGACGTGGGTTTGGGTGGACTCCAGGAGTTGGTGATGGACAGAGGCCTGGCATGCTGCAGTTCATGGGGTTGCAAAGAGTTGGACATGACTGAGCAACTTAACTGAACTGAACTGATAGACTTCTTGCTTAGGGAAAAAAAAATGTTCTCTAAGCAACTAAAGGGAAACAAAATGATTTTCCAAACTACAACACTGTCCTAAAGTGACTCGTTATTGCTACATCCTTTGGATTGGGGGCGTCTTGAATTTTCCTCTTCAGTGTCTCCTGAAAGGAACAGATGATACCCCTTTGTTTTTAAATAGACAGAGGCTCATAGTTCTTCACCCACAGACACGATTAAAATGTCTTGTAAGTACAGTTTCAAGGCGTTGCCATAATTTTCCCAACACACAGCGAAACCTTCAAGTTCAGTGGGGATTTCATAAAGAAAGGGTTGTCACGGGGGTGCAGGAGCTGGTCCTGGGGGGCGAGGATCTGCTCTTCCACTGGTGCTGGCTCCTGGGGACCCTTGGATGGCCTGACACGGGCAGAAAGGCCAGGCGCCAATGTGGCCACAGTGCATGACGGGAAACACTCCACCAAGAAACATGAGGAGAGGTCTGTTAAACAAGATGGCGGCCCCTGAGCGGAGGGGAGAAAGCTAGCAACTGGCACTTCCTGTTTGCCCGATAGAGCACGAGAATCCACCCTGCATGACTGTTACCAGTGTATTCTGCTCTCTGGGACACCCAGATGAATCCGTTACCAGGGGGTGGGCACTCTGACGGCACTGTAACTCCAAAGTTTGGTGACTTCTCAGAAAAATAATTCTTCCTCCATAGAGGTCCCACAAGGAACATATTGGGGCAATGGTGACCGGTGGCAAGTCACAGCCACTTCCTAGGAAAGCTAGACTTATGTCACCTTCCTATTTCCAGGGCCTACCATCCTGTAATGCCTTCTGCTACGGTCTCACAATCTGTATAAGATACGTGAAGAACAGAGTCAAGGTTTTCCTTTTCCACTCTGCTCTCAATATGGTTAAGTTGGCTCTTTGTGCAGACCTGTACTTCCTCTCTCTGAAAGGTTGTTTTTGTGAACACTCATATCCTGGGAAGATAACCTGTGGCGTGTGTGATTGGCAGGTTTAGGTTGCAATAACACTGACTAGGCCAGGGTGTCAAGGTAACCCGGGAGAGCAAAGCCCCTGGAAGCCTGTTCTAGTTAAAAATGCCAGTTTCATAAAAGTAGTGTAAGCTCCACAGACTTCCCTGCTCTTTATGAAAAGGGGTACATCAAGGAAGGCAAGGATTTTTCTGTACCTTGCATTTCCCCGGTGTCTGCTGACATCAGCCAAAGCGACTCTCTGGGGAATGATGACGATGATAAGAATACACACGATAATTGCAAACACTGACTGAATGCCCCACTGCATGGCAGGATGTGCACCCCTCTGAACTCTACAAGCATTAACTTGCCCCTGACAACAATCCCAGGGAACTGATATTTTTATTCTCAATCTACAGATGAGGAAACTGAGGCACAAAGCCGTTACATTACTTTCCCAAGGTCACAGTTACCAAGTCTGATGTAGACGTCACTCTTACAAATGCGACACTTTACACGTTACCCTGCATTTCATGATGACCACCAGACTGTGCTGCCTGAATTCGGGGCAGCATGGGACCTTGAGTCACTTGTAGGTCATGTCACTTTGCCTTTCTTCTCTCCCTTGGGTTCTTTCAGGTGTCTGGGATGGGGGATAAGGAAATGCAAGACTGAACTGACTGGCAGTTCGGAAATGAGGGATTTTAACTGCACTGGTTTGAGGTCTGATAAAATATCTTCAGATTGACATTCTCAAAATTGTCCTCTGAACTCTTGCCCCAGAAGACCTAGGTTGCTGGAGCTGGAAGGGGTCTGATGGGTCATCTTATTCCATAGTCTTCAATAGGAATGCCTGGGAGAGTCGTCAGTGAGACTTTCAAGAAGGTGAAACCCGGGCCTCCCCATGACCAACTGAACCTTGCCCCTGGGGCATGCTGTGAGACTGCACAGCTTTTTGTAAAGCTCCACAGGTTATCCTGTTGTTCAGCCTTGATTAAGATCACAGGACAAATGACGAATTGTTAGTTCAGGAATTGTCGGTTCAGGACACCGAGGCTCCTACTGGCTTAGAAACGAGGACTATTAATCTCTGGAGTCCTGGTCTGGTGCTCTGCAGGCTGTAAGTGCTGTTGGGGACTGGGACTGCAAACTGCTTACGCACCCTCTTTTGACAAATGGGTCACTTGGAGCCTCCGAGGAAATACCAATGGTGAGTGGGAGATCCCTGACTCTAGTTCCTGACTCAGGGTTCCCACAGGGCTATTCTTAAGAATTAGGGGAACTTGGCAGATGGGAAGCTTTACAAATTCACTAGAGCTAATGAAACTTGCAGGTTTTAGAACCATACCCTACACTCAAGACAGATTCCTTCAGGTCTTTGGGTTGGGCTTGGAGCCAGATTGGCTGGTGACCTGAGCTTATAGTATCCTTCCAGAGGACCTGGGGTAAGGGTAGGGCAGGTGGAAAGCCTTGGAGGAGATTTTGGAATTCAGGGTCTAGCACAGGTGACCCTTGTCCAGCACACAGCTGCCAAGAAGAATCTTGCTGAGCTTTGGAATGGTAAGCTTAGATGCCACTTCAACATTCACTCAAATGTCACCATTCTGCTGAACAAGCTCAAGTTACAGAAAAACCATCATAAAGCAACTGCACTTCTGTGCCTGCTGTCCTTTACAGTTTATTGAGTGAGATTTAGTTTTTTTTTTTTTTTCCTAACTCTAGATGAAACCTTGGGCTAACTCCATGACTCTTCTTGCTATTCTCAGGTAACATGGGTCCTGTCACCAATAATTTAAGTATCCAATACAATGAGAAGTCAGAACTCAGATCCCCCGGGATGTGTGTCTTTCTCCTTCCCCAGTGTGGGCCTCCTGGGGGAGGGTGTCTGCAGAGTGGGAAGAGTGCACGGTTGGCTTCTCTCTGTTCCTCGTGTTTCTGCTCTGACCCCTCCCCAGATGGCTAGTCAGGTTTTCCAAAGCACCCAGGGGTGGAGAATGAGGAAAGAAAGAAGTGTCTGCTGGAGAAGGAACATGTCTCATTAACTACATCACAGTTCCTCAAACTAAAAACATGAACTTAAACCTGGTGGCCATTTCTTTGGGTTATTTGGAGACACCCCATCACTTCCCTGATCACGGGACATCCTGCCCAGGTTCCCTTAATGTGGACCACATCCTCCCCTCTTAGTCCTGATTACTCTCTTTGCCCCAGGCTTTCTAGTTATTCTTCTAGCTTCTCTATTGGGACCTAAAAGCAGCTTTTCCCACAGGATCTAAAATGACCCCACACCAACTGTCTTTCTCTTGCTGGCTCCCTGGAGACATTCAGCATGCTTTGCCCTCCCAACCTCCAGAGTCCCCACCTGCAGCCCTCCAACTCTCTTGGCCCGGTCACTCCCATCAGCCCCGCCTCCCCGCCCCTGCCACACCCACCCATCAGGAACCCACCAGGCATCTGTGCCCCCTAGATGGCGCTGCTGCCCCAGGACCACTCAGAGACACGACTTCCCAGGCTGTCACTCAGTTCAGTCGCTCAGTCGTGTCCAACTCTTTGCGACCCCATGGACTGCAGCACGCCAGGCCTCCGTGTCCATCACCAACTCCCAGAGCTCACTCAAACTCGTGTCCATCGCGTCGGTGATGCCATCCAGCCATCTCATCCTCTGTCGTCCCCTTCTCCCTCCTTCAATCTTTCCCAGCATCAGGGTCTTTTCCAACGAGTCAGTTCTTCGCATCAGGCTGAGTGGTCATTTTGGTCCAGTCGTGAAGAGAGGATCTTTCTCATCCTTTGTGGAGAGCACTCACTTCTCACTACATTCTGCCTCCAATCCCCCCCCAACCCTGGTGTGCCTGGGAGTGAAGAGTCGAGTTGTGCAGCACTCCCTTTGGGATACGAGTCCTCCTGTCTCTTGGTGTCATGGGCTGGTGTTCACTTTAGCATCTGTGGCATAGACACACGGGTACGTGCACACACAGCCCTCAAGGGGGCCTGCTGCAGGCCAGGCTTCACACCAGGTATTAGGGACACAGAGATGGACAACATGAGCCCTTCCCTAAGGAGCTTAGAGTCTAGCTGGAGAGGAGAGGGGAGCAGAGATCAGGAGAGCAAAGCGTGGTTGGTGCAGCATATGCCCAGGTGTGGAGACGTCTGCTCGGTGCACCCTGGAAGATGGCCAGGACTGCCACAAGCTTGGGGCTCAGAGTCTGGGACCAGCACTCTTTCTTGCTGACTCAGGCCACAGCTGGGAGGAGGTGTTCCCACCTTTCACCTCCCCCAGGTGGCCTGTGTTTTAATGCTCAGCACGCCGGCTCTCCAGCTGTCCACTTGTGTCTGAAGTCTACATGGGAGTCAGGTCATTAGAAAGCACAGGAGCATCTCTCAGCCCCTGTGGTTTTCCAGCCTGACTGCAAGGAGCAGGTGGAGGGAGTTGCCTGGGTGTTGAGACGGGGTAGACAGCTGAGAAGGGGGAGCTCTTTGCCTGCCTGGCGACCTCCTCACCCTCCCTCCCTGCACCCACAGCGACATCTGTGTCTTGTTTTTTTAATTAAATTATTTTTGGCTGCGCTGCT